AAATCAGCAAACAACAAGTGCTGGTAAAGACATAGAGAAAAGGGAATCTTGTGCACTGCTGGTGGAATGCAGGTTGGTGAAGACACAGTGAAAAGCAGTGTGGAGATATCTCAAAAAATTAAAAATGGATCTGCCTTTTGACCCAGCAATCCCACTTCTGGGAATAGGTACAAAGGAACCCAAACACTAATTCAAAAGAATATATGCACCCCTATGTTCATTGCAGCATTGTCTGCAATCACCAAGATGTGGAGGCAGCCCAAGTGTCCATCAGTCGATGAGTGGATAAAACAACTATGGGATATCTACACAATGGAATACTACTCTGCCATAAAAAGAAGAAACTTTTACTCTTTGTGACAGTATGGATGGACCTGAAGAACGTTATGCTAAAAGAAATAAGCCTGTAAGAGAAAGACAAATACCATATGATTTCACTCCTATGTGGAATCTAATGAACAAACTGAACTAACAAGCAAGAGTCAGATTCATAGAGAGAGAGCAGGATGACAGCTCTGGCGGAGGGGAAGGGGTGGGGGTGAAGGGATCCAGCAAAAAGGAAAAAGGATTCATGCACATGAACAACAGTGTGGTGATTGCAGAGGGGAAAGGGGTGTAAAGGGGCTAAATAGTGATTAAAAAAAGATAATACAAATATAAATAAATAAAGGATGTTGCATTAAAAAATCTTCAGTATTAGACACTTTGAAATATTTTTTGAAATAAGTTTTCCTTAAAAACACCTTAGCAATAATTTATAATTAGCATTAAATACAATTAAATACATTAAATGCCTTATATTTGTATATATGTATACATATAGAGAGACACCTAGTGACAGAAAAGGAAACTTAGCAAACCTATTACTATTTTGAAATATTCATAAAATTATCACACTTCATTCTGTTACAATTAGAAACTTCGAGCAGTTTTCCCATATGATTACCTTGCCATTTCTTAATTTGAGTGGAGGGAAGTTTCTTTTAATAACTCTAATTAACTGAAGGATTTTAATAAAAAGAAGTTATTTCTAAAAACATTTAGCACTTGTTCAGGTGATAGTAAATGCTCACAAAGATACTTTATATGTTTAGCTATAGGATTTGGTTTAACAAGTATCAAAAAGAAGATGGAGGAGGGGAGTATTAAAAAAAGGGAAAGAGTGCAGGAGGGGGAGAAGGGGAAGTGGATGAGGAGAAGAAAGAAAAAAAGAAAACAGTACAACAGTTTTAATTATGCAATTAAGGACTACAATTGCTTCTAAAATAATAACATATCCTTCCACCAGAGGGCAACATTTGCAAGACATTTAAATGATATCTCAAAAGTATTTCCTCAGGCAAGGGTGTAGACAAATGAAAGGCCATCACAGTGCTATTAGGAATTAGCTTATTGAACTTCAAAGAATACTATGCGGCAGTTATTTAAACAACTGTATATAGAACTTAACATCTACTCGTAGTAAAATAAGCAATAAATTTACTCTTCTTTAAATATATGAGAAGATAGAACTTTGAGAAAGGAGCATGGTTCTCTGTATTAATGGCATTTTTCTCAGTTGATTATTAACCATTTAGCTCATATACAACAGGAAAGTCTTAAGCTAGAAAAAACAAACAGGTTTTACATCAATGAATAAATTAATAAGAAAGTCATAGAATTTTATAAGTAGAAGGGGTGATAAAGATCACTTACTACAAACATTAATTTGTAAAAATTAGGAAACTGAAGTTTATTAAAGTTTAGTGGTTGATTCAAAGTTATAGGGATAATAATCAGCAAATACAGGACCCAAATCCAAGTCAGCTGATTTCACATTTCATACTCAACACCACTGATAGTCAAAGTGTGATCCATGGACAAGTGATCCTGGAAACATATTAGAATTGCAGAATCCTGGGCTCCAACCATAGACCTGAAGAATCAGAATCTGTATTTTGACAAGATATTAGATGGAGAGAAAATACACAACACGTGCTGCTTCTTTATCACTGGTTGCGTGCTGTCAGGCAATTCATCAAATCTCATTTTCCTCCTCAATAAAACTGGAATAAAATGAGTTTATTTAAAAGAATAATTATAAGGAATAGATGAAGTCATGTAAGCAAAAGTCACTTGCAAGTTGTAATATACTACATACTTTAGTTATAATCAATGAAACCTTCTTTTATTTTTAAGAGTGCTTGGGAAGAGGGAATAATTGTCATTTAGGAAGAGGTGTCTAATAATTCAATTTAAGACACTGTTAAAATTGGCTGGGAGATTTGGGGGTAATGGAGACTGTCTAGAAAAGGAAAACCTTTTTCAATATCACTAAATTAATGCCATATGTATAACTACTAATATTTCCTTGCAGAAAGATAAATCTAGTGAACTTAAAGCCACAAAAGCACACATTCAGTGTTTGGGTTTTGGAACCACACATGAAGGAAATTTGTTGGATTAGTAAGTCATGTCTGAATGTATGACTTTTGTATTGGGAGTAGCTATTAATTTAAGAATAGCTTAAATGGAATTCTTTGGTCTCAGGTGGCTTAGTAACAATTCTTGTAATTTTCCACGTATGGCATTTTCCATTTGTTTATGACTTTGCTCAAGAAGTCTCCTCTGGCTGGAATGTTTTCCAAGTACCACCATCAATCCTGACTCAGTTCCATTAGGCTTCCATTGTTTTCATAGGGCTATATTTCTCTTAAAGTATTAAGACAGACAAGGAAACATCACCTCCTAAAATCTTTTCTCTCTACTTTCACTCCTAGGCTGAGTTACTTGTCCAATTTCACCCATAATTATTTGTAATTTTATTTATGTGTCTGTTTCCCATAGCTTGTGAGAATTTTCAGTGGGCATTCCCAGAATCTAGTGCAAATGTAAGCACTAAATGAGTATTTTTAGGCTGAATAAATCAATATTAGCAGTAATTCTTATTCAATCACTCATCCTGTTACTAAGAGAATGGAGGAGAGATCCAGTTGACATTTATTTCAATAAAGGTGAATGTAATTATTTTACTCTAGATATAATGCTTTCATGCTGGATTTGTATTTCTTGGTGCCCCCCGAGATATATATAATGCAGACTTAGCAATTATGTGGTTTATATCTCTAGACATTTGGGGGTGAAACTTAAGCAGAAGTGCTTAGGAGAATCATTTTTATATCGCCATCCAAGCTTCACAGATATTTATTTAACTTCTATCTTTGCATCACTTCACAGAATTTTAAAATCATGGGTATCCCTGAATGAATTACATTGAATGAATTTGGTCACTACAGATTTGAAAAACAGATATTTTGGAAAGCACCTAGATGGGTCCTGACTAGCTTGAATCTTTTGTTTCGAGGTACTTTAGTGTCTTTTTTTTCTACTTATATTTGATCACCTTTGAGGGTAGATATTATTTTGAGGCATTCCAGAGCTTTAGAAAAATATGGTTCATTGTTTTACAAAAGATATAATACATATTTATATGACAACTATCAAATTTAACAATGATAGACAGCATTAGCTACTTTTGGTAGTTTTCCAGCTATCTGTTCTGTGTATCCATATCCATTGTATTATTTAGCTTACTCAGGAAACGTTCTTACATCATTCTGTATTTAGATCTCTACTTTTGAGATTTGGTCCCAGGATTCCTAAGAAGGAAAATCTACTCCCCCTGTTGGTTTAAATAAAATCCAAATATTTCAACCTTGAGAATGTGGTTCAAGGGCACACTGTTTTGTAATCATTTGCCTGAATTGCATCTAAGTGGACTGTGATTCATGTCAAACACATTAATAATTAACAATGAGCTAACATAGTTTTCTTGGTTTACTTGATGAAATAAATTTATGGATACTATGTCTATATATGTGAAAACACATGTCTTACATGAATGTCTATAATTCTACTTTAGAAGAAAATATTACAAAAATTATATTTTAAAGAGATATAAGTAATTTAAAATAAATCTTGAAAATATCAACAGTGATTACTTATTGACAAGCACAATGTATAGCCACAAATTTAATTAGTATATTGATACTTCAGTAGTGTGATATGAATAATTAGGTGAACAATTATAAAATTCCAAGGAATATATATTAAACTACCTGGTTTTTTATTTAATCAAGGGCACTGAGGTTGCAGGTATTCTTTTCTTTCATTCTTTATCCTTTCCCTTTCTCTCCTCTCTGTCTCCAGCCCCTGCTTCCTTCTTCTTTTCCTTCCTTCCTACTTTCCTTTCTTCCTTCATACTTTCTTATCAAGGGTTAAAACAATATACATGAACAATATAATTATGTATTTTGTGTGCATATATTTGATATCCAGAGGAGCCCAGGTACCCAAGAATACCACAAACATGAGTAAAATTTGTTGTAATCTTCCTTCCTTGCAACAAACAGATTTGTTGTCAGCGTGCTGGGTAAAATGTAGACTAGAAGTAACTTGTCAATTTTTAATAAAGTCTTCCTCTCTTGCAGAGCCAAATGCACCATTCTCCCTGAAAAGTCTGGCGATGATGACATCTTCCCACTTGGTCTCCATAGCATCCATTTCTGAAAATCCCCAGAAGGGTTCTTGGTCAGGGCGATCCGCCCAGCTTCTCCAGAAACTTGGCAATTTGCTCAGCCAAAAGAAGCTTCCCCATTTCCTGCAACGGACGCTGTCCGTGGTTCTGAACCATTCTGCAGAGGCGCGCCCGGACGGCGCTGTCTGCCGTGCTGAAAAGATCTTCCCTGACGCTGCCCAAATCAGAACTGTGTATCTGTTATTTACTCACGTCCTCAAAGAGCTGCAAGCTTTCTCCATCTTAATTCGACTCTACTGCAGAGCAGAGTTGCGCCGGCGTGATGGGAGGAGATCGTAGGCAAGGAGGAAAAAACTAATAGCAGCATTGCTCACCTGAGACCTAAGATGCTCCCATGAGTTTTGGAAGTGCTCTGCTCCTTACAGCAAATACACATATTTTAAAAAAAGTACCATTCTTTTGTCTTTGTCTTTACACAAGGGTTCTATGATATTTCCACCATTCCGTTTAAAAGCCAGAAGATTTGACAGCAATAAGGCTTTCAACACCGGAATTTACACTGTTTTTCAGTTGATTGACTTCCAGGACAAGGTCTCATCGGCACCCGCCCAAATACCATGGCACTGCGTGCGCCCTTTGCCACCGGAACCTCCCCTTCCAATGAGACTTTCTGATTGTGTCTACCAACTCTCCTATTAAAAAAAAAAAGCCGTGGGTTGCATGCAGCTATTCTGTTGTATTCTGTTCTCACTCTGCCTCCCCTCTCTCACTCGCACTCTTGCTGGAGGCACATCAATGCCATTCTGCTGAGAAGAAAAATCCCACAACTACCTTAAGGGGTTAAGACAATATGCGCCACTCTCGCCTTTTATAGCGATCACTATTTAAATCTGGCAAGAGCCCGGCACCAGTCTTTGCAAGAATGGAGTCGGTAAAACAAAGGATTTTGACCCCAGGAAAAGAGGGGCTAAAGAATTTTGCTGGAAAATCCCTCGGCCAGATCTACAGGTAAGAAAAAGCAAACCCATATTTGCCTGGGGCTCAGCATGAAAAAAATCTGCAGTGCTATTTCCGTAAACCCTGGTTGCTTAGAGAGATTGTAATGTAATATGATCGGAAAGTCTTTTTTCTTGCTCATTGCTGGATCGGGGCTACTCTGGAAACCTGCTTATTTATTCAGGAATGTTGCACTAAATGAACCTGTCTGCTTTGTGTATGTGTGTGTAATTTTTGTTTTGGTACCTGCAGATTCTCATCTTTTCCTACCCAGGATTTATCCTTTTTACAATTGAAAATGACCAGAACAGATTCAAAGAACCTTTCTTTTGGTGCTTATAGTGACACTAAACTAAATTCCTTCGATGCAGACAAATGAGTTTTTAAAAATACCACCATTTAAAATTAATCAAGAAATTCCAAAGAGTAATGACAAAAATTGTGTGTGTGTGTGTGTGTGTGTGTGTGTGTGTGTGTGTAGCTTCAAAACCACTTGAGTAGTGAATCTCCCAGTGGAATCATCCTTCTGTAAAGAAGGAAGAGGAATCAAAATATATCAATAATTGATAGCTGAGGCAGTTCTTCTCTCTGAATCAGAAACAATGTACATGTATTTTTCATTATTTGACCTCTCCTAGAAGTCTATTTCTTGCATGGAAAAAGTCACGGTACTCTTAAGAAAAACCGTGATAATGACTTTGAAAGTCCTGGAAATTATTAAAAAAATTTTTATCCTCCCTGTAGTCATTGTACTAATTGTGCTGTAAATTTCACAATTTGAACTCCTTTCAAGGTATTATAGGAATACCCTTTTTCTTAATAACGGGAGCAAAATCAAGAAGAGAGGGCAGACACACACATACAAAACGGTTTGAAGAGAGCGCTGGTTTTCACAGTTGGGAAACTGGAGCCTTTGGAAATGTATAGGAAATGTAAAGAAAATAAGCCATGTGCCTCCCAGCTTTCCAAATCTCTTTGGTTCCGGTGGGCTTCCTGCTCGCTTGGCCAGGCACCTCTGCGGCAGTAGATACCGCAGGGGCCCTGCAGTCCCGCAGCTGCCCTGGGGAGAGCTGTCCTGCTGTTCTTTCCCAGCCCAGCTGCCATCAGGTGGGGAGTTCAGGTGCAGAGTTCAACTTTGCAAGATGAGTATATGGAGACAATGTGTAAAAATAAATAAATAAAATCTCATTAGTTAAAATTTTCTCTCCCAGAATATATTGCCCTATGTTCTCCAGTTGAGACCGGACTTTAGGAATAAGGATTAACAGAGTCGTAAATACGTTTGTGACCTAGTCCCAGGTGTTTTTCTGTAGCATTTGGAAGTCTGACCCCCCTCCCGCCCCCACCTCCGGTAGCTTCAAATTTCTGGACAGCCATCTCCCACGCTATGCATTCTTGGAACTGATCTTAGAATTTCATTAGCTTTACCCGCGTGTGTGAAGCCAATTGTGTCTGGGTATATCATTTAAAATGGTACAAATAATAATTAATTATATGCTAGGTTAGAGATACCTGCAAATTGTAAATGGAGAAGTTCTTTGTTTAAATATTGAAAGTGTCCATCTCAAGGGTCCACAGTGATGTTATCCTTCATATTCCTCATCTTTTTTTATTTCACGGATATACCGTGGACTAGAACAACACGATCAGCTTTTCGTAACACCTTTCAATCACTCCGCTTTCCCCTACTCCCTTCTCCCAAGGATGAAAACCTAAAAGGAATGAAATCAGACGGGTGAAATCTGGTGAAATGCTATGCAAATTAAAAAACATAAAACAAAAACTAAATGTGATACCGTCTACCTTGGTGTAGAACATCTTACCGGAGTTGATTTGGGGGCGCGTTTGTATGCCTGGGAGTCCCATTTTGTCTTTGGAAATGGGCCCGTGATATTTTTCGGTGTTTGTAACCGAGATAGTAATGACGCAAGATTGTGAATAATTAATTATTCATGTTCTGGCAGTAGGAAGCTTAGGTGTCGGCCATATGTTGCGGAGGCCTTTGTTTCAAACTAGAGTATCAAAGGGAAAAAAAGTAAGATGTGGAGAGGGAGAGTAAACGTTGAATTGGCTCCCTGGGGCTGAGGAAGGGGTCGCGGAGTGAGCGAATCTCTCAGAGAGCGCGGCCACAGACCTTCTCTACGTGCGCACCGCACAGGAAAGGCCTCAATCCCCGGGGATCCCCCGATTAGTTGGGGGTGGGGGCGGGATCGCGGCATCCTCATCCCCGAAAGCTTTAATTTGCCCGGAAAGAAAGAGATAGGGCGGGCGCCGGGCCGTGGCTGGGCCGGCCCGCAGCTGAGCGACCTGCGGGAGGCTGCGTGGCTGGATTAAATACCCCGTCACCGGGGTAAAGCACTGCGGCGCCTGCACAGTTGCTCAGAAGGCGCCTTTGGGTAACCCTCATAAACTGCAGACCCAGCAAGAAAGTTAGGCCCAAGCGGCCTGTGCACATGAATCAAGATGCTGCGGGCTGGATCCAGAGGGAATGGGGACTGGATGCGAGAGGAGAGAGGTGTTAAATTGAAGAGATGATGTCGCAGGGAGGGGTCCTGACGGAGGCTGGAGATCCCAGGAGGTCCTGAAACCTCGTGTCTGTCTAGCACCCTCATCCCGGAAGGTGGGAGAACGGGTTAGCGCCCCTCCCCTCAACCCCGACGGGCCCTGGGAATTGGAAACGGGCGGGCGTCTGGGGTGCCTAACCCGAGGCATCCTTGCCTCCCTCCCCTTCCCCCGCTGTGCCGCGCAGGGTGCTCGAGAAAAAGCAAGACGCCGGGGAGACCATCGAGCTGACGGAGGATGGGAAACCCTTGGAGGTGCCTGAGAAAAAGGCGCCACTGTGCGACTGCACGTGCTTCGGCCTGCCACGTCGCTACATCATCGCCATCATGAGCGGCCTAGGCTTCTGCATCTCGTTCGGCATTCGCTGCAACCTGGGCGTGGCCATCGTGGATATGGTCAACAACAGTACCATCCACCGCGGGGGCAAGGTCATCAAGGAGGTGGGCAACAGCTGGCCGAGCGGTTGCGCAAAGCCACATCACCTTTTTGAGCACGGTCTCCCCCTCCCCCTACCGAATGAGGAAGGCCTGGATGCTCCCTCAGCCGCCTTCTAGTACTGCCCTTCTAGAACAGACCCTTCTAGGATCATCACCACCTGCCTGTCTTGCTCCTGAAGCAAGTCGCTTCTGCTCTCCGGGCCTTCCTTTTCTCATCTGCAAAGCGGAAAATACCGTGTGTCTCACTGGGTTTTTGAGATACGTCATACAAGAAGTTGGGGCTTAATAGTCCTGCTAAATCGAAATCGAAATATTTTTCTTTTACTCAAAAGGAATAGGGCAGCATGTTAGTTATAATTTCTCGCAGAATTCCTCCATTTCCCGTCAAACATTCCTAATAATAAAAATGAAACAAAATCGAAAAACAAGTCAAATCGACTGTCTGCACGTGGGCAGTTTCCTCCCGGGGCCTTCAGGAGCAGTCGACCTGGCTGGCGAAGGTGGGGGTGGGGGGGGGTGGGCTGCAGCGCAGGCGCATCTCGGGGGCTCGGGAATCCAGTCCTGTAACCTTACAATGGGTGTGTTGGCTGACCCCTAGGAAGAGAAGGGTCAATTTCCAGGTCACAGAAAGCCGTGGGGCCGTATTGCCTATTGAGGGATCTGAATGACCATAAACCAGGAGGAGTGAGAGTTGGGAGGATTAATTCTGCCCTCGCTTTGGGTGGGAAGCGGTGAGCGCTGACCAGCCCTGGAGATTCCGGGAGACCCTGCGCTTGGTTTCAAAATTTCATTCAAAGGGAGGGAAAGGGGGTTCCTCAGGCGGAATAAGCGCTCTCTCCTCTTTCCACTGCGGGTATTTCCTCCCAGTTTACTTTAAGGTTCACCTGGTGCGGGCGCCCAGGCTGGCAAGGGTCAAGTTAGGCCCGACCCTCAGGCACACCCCTCTCGGCCTCTTAGGACCACCCCTGAGCAACACCTCCCTTTCCACTGACTCCCCAAATTTTCCGGGCTACTCCAGGTCATTGTGGCCCGCGCCCATCCATCATCCTTCATAACTCCTCCAACCTCCTCGCACCTTCCACCCCAAGCTCCCCAACTGCCTTTCCCAGAAGTTCCCGTTTGGGGGTCGGGTCTCCGAGCTATTCCACTGCTCTCCGCCCTGGCTGGCCTCGGCTGCACCCAGCCAGGTGTTCTCTGTCCCCAGCCGCCTCACGGAATCTTTTCCCTGGAGTCGGAATTTCCCAAACTGGAGCCCTAAGGATTCCTCACTCACCGAGGCGATCCGACCCGCCTGACAGTGTTCCGAGGGCAAAGCTCGGGCGCCCAGCTTTGCTATTAATCACAACACATTGAAAATGAGCACGGTCTTTTTTTTTTTTTTTTTTTTTTTTTAGTTAAAAGAAGCATTTCCTCTCTCTACGAGGGTATTGATTCTGTTTTGTTAAGAAACGGAAATTACCACCTCCCCTCCCCCACGCTCACCATGCCGGGACTACCTGGGGGCTGAAGGCGCTTCGCCTGGAGAACTACTGAAACGGACTCTTCAGTCCAGGCGCTGGCTCTACGCTCTCCCTCCACCCAGGTTTTTAAATTTTATTTATTTGCTGATTTATCTATTAAAAACATTTCTTTTTTCCTACTCCCATAGAAAGCCAAATTCAACTGGGACCCAGAAACCGTGGGGATGATCCACGGTTCCTTCTTTTGGGGCTACATCATCACCCAGATTCCGGGCGGCTACATCGCGTCTCGACTGGCAGCCAACAGGTAATGCGCCGGACCGGCCCGGGCCGGGGTCGCGGGGCGCGTACCCTCAAGAGGGGCAGCGGAGGCTGTGGGCAGGGACGACAGCCCCGCGGGGGTTGGGAACTCCTGGGCAGGTCTCCTGATTCCCTGGCACCCCCTCTTGTAACAGGAATTGCTGGTGCCTCCTTCCAGAATAAGGCGCCCGAAAAGATCTGGGCTTTCTCGGGCGGGCTCCCGTGGTCGCTTCCTCTCCGCCCTGTCTGAATCGGCTCTTAACAAAAATAGTCGACGTGCCTTAAGGCCCGAAAGGAGCTGAGGCCTGGCGGTGAGCAAGCCGAGCTGGGACGGCGAGGCCGGGCGTGCACAGGGGTGGGGGCGTCACGTGCTGTGCTCCCGGGAGCGCCCCGCGGGTGCCCCGGCCTCCTGCGGCGCTGACCTCCGCGCAGGGCGCGTCGAAGGCCCGGTAGGAGAGCCCGCCCAGATGGTGCTCTGGCTCTGAAGGATTTGTTTCTATGGTGGCAGGCGGGACTGCAGGCGCTGGGGGTGCGATTCCACCTGTTAATGGGCTCGGCTGAGTAGAGGCGGGGCGGAGAAGGCGCTCGGCGGCGCCCTGCGGCCTCCAGCCGCGCGGCAGAGGTGGCGGCAAGCCAAGGTCCTAGGGTCGGCCCTCGGGAGTGCTCCCAACGCCGCCTGCAGAGCCCCGCCGAAATTTGGGGCAGCAGAACTGAGGGGACGGGGGTGTCAAAGGGCTCAGCCCTCCGAGGGGAGGGTGAGACACAGCTTTATTTGCTTTACTGTGTGTATTATGCTAAACGAAATTGAATGCTCCTTAAATCTGAATAGTTAGAGAACAAATGCACTCGCCCTTCTAGGTGCTGCTGCATAGAGACTCCAAATGGAGACTGCGTGTCTTCCTTCACCCCTTGTCCCTATGACTTCACTCTCTCCCTCCCCCCAAAAGGTGGCAAGTAATCTAGAACTGGGCACCTCTCCAGTCTGATCTCTTGTCTGCTTTTGTAAACCTGTCCCTCTGCATCTCTGAGCAATTTCCTTGGCTACTTCCAGTGGCTTTTGTCATCGACAATCCCATTCCCAGAGGTTTCTTCCTACCCGAGATTTCCCAGTTGTCTCCAAAGTCTAGGAAGAAATTCCTGGAAATTTATGTGAGGCTTGATTCCAGGGAGAGGATTTTTGGACAGTCCTTCAAAATGTCAAGAGGAGAGTGCGACAGATTAAGAATAGTGCCTTCTGAGTATTGTTTTTACTCTGACATTAGAGATGGCTAGCCCTTAGACCCATCAAGAGACATTCTTTTAGAAAAGGAATCAATTTAAAATGAAAGGCATTAACTGTGTAGAGAACTCTATGCATTATGGATAATGTCTTGAATCTCTGTTTTTTTCTATAAAATATAGAAAAAATCACCAAATCTGATCTCTCACAAATCACCAAAACCTAAAAATGATACAGAAAGCTCAATGTAATGTAAAATGCAAGTATTATGGCTGCGCCTGTCAATTTTTCTCAGAGTCAAAACCTTCAGCATGGCAGACGTTAAAATGCTAGCATTTTCCTGCCAGGAGAGGAACCACCAGGGATGCCCCAGCTTTCCTGGTTGTAAAACGGGGAGGTCAGTAAACAGGTTTTCCTAGTTTAAAAAAAGAAAGAAAGCGAAATTATTGCTATCATTTGTGTCATGTTTAGTAAAGAAAAGACTGATGCTGACTCAGGTTGTAATTTATTTGGTACATTTTCCTCAAGGAAAAATTTCTGAATTTAGAATTTTTATCTGAATCTGTATATGCCTCACCTTTAAATGAGTATTCAAGAGAAAGAAACTTACAGTATTTTCATATGCAATGATTTATGTTCTACAAGATTGAAAAAAGTAAGTTAAAATTCATTGTAAAATATATGAACAGATCAAAGATTATAGACTATTTTATTATATCTTAGTGTTTTGACATCTTTGCTACATATTAAAAATATAATAAAACATCGCAAATGTTTTAGCCAGTTGAAGCCTCCTATGAAGACAAGTTTCAAACATCTATAACATTCGCTTTCCCAATTACAAAAAATAAAAGGTGAAGGGATTAAGCAAAGAAAAAAAATTCAGACACAGACAACAGGATGGTAATTACAAGAGGGAGAAAAGAGTGGGAGGAGGTAGAAGAGGATAAGGGGAGGTAAATTGGTGATGGAAGGAGACCAGGATTTGGGTGGTAAACACACAGTGCAACATACAGATGATGTATTACGGAATCGTGCACCTGAAACCTATATCACTACATTAACCAATGTTACCGCAATAAGTTCTATAAAAAGTACTACATAGTAAATAAAATACATATTAAAAAGAAAGGATGATAATCATAAATAATTTAATCTCCAGAGACACCTATTATTAATATGTTGGTGAATGTCCAATTAGCCCTGTACATCCTATATAGAATTTTATCTTAGAAGGCTTTTTTTAAAAACACAAAATCTGAGAAAAATTTTTAGAATTGGTTTGACAGATGTATGTTTTTTATTATAATCCATTTCAAAAGAGTAAAAACAACACAGCAAGACCAGTTTTCCATCTACAAGTATTGTATGCCCATTCAAATAAGCTTCTCCCTATAGGTCATTTAATAATAGAACAGAATTTCCCTTGGGTGGGAAACTGGGGACAGACTCCTTTCCCCCTAGGTGGAAAAGAAGCTCACTTTGGGAAGTGTTTGCCATCACTGCTGTGGGCAGAACTGGAGTAGAGAGGGACTAAGATGTGTGGAGATAGCTCCTCAAGAGAGAAGAGCTCCTGGTTACACTGCCAGGCAAATTTCTCAATGAAAAACAAACAGCAATGATATTTGGCACATCCATTTTATGGATGAAACAAAAACAACCCCACATTTGGGCAGAATATAGGTTCTTGGTTCTTTAGTTCTTTTTCTGGTCAAATTCTAAGTGTTCTTGCTTTCCTGCTCATGGAGAAGAGGAAATGAAGCAGTACTGGGGAGAGAAAACTCAGTTCCCCAGGATGCCTGTGCATCATTTTCTTTGTCTTTCCTTAAAGGGCTATTGCACATCTTGGGCAGGAGAATTTAGAGACCTCCATGGAGGGCCTTGGGGTGGAGAATCAAAGAAAGACTCCTCACAAGATCTGGAATGTTTTCAGATGAAAACATACTTAATATAGTGATTAAAAGGTGTTGGGGGAAATTAATTTTGCCTTTTAAACAGTACGGGGCATGGAGATTACTTCAATCTAGATATTTACAAATATGAAATGGCTAAGGACTATTTTTACCTTCTATTGAGAAAGTGAGAAGGAACATTGCTGGGAAAATATTTAATGTGAGAAACAACAGAATTTTTGCAGTGGGCATAACCAAAGAATGTCAAAATTACCAAAGGTAGTTTGGCTAACAATGTGTTTTAATGGATGATATTATGTATACAAAGACTATTCTTACTTCTGTAGTCTAGGTGGCAATATTACTTAACCCCTATTTAAATATGTTCCCTAATCTGTTTCTGTCCTTCCGATTTCCCAACACTGCTACAGTTTTTTACAGAGTGCTTATTGCCACAGACCATACCAATATTTTACTTATTTTTAATGTCTACCTTTCCCCAATACAATGTAAGCTTCATAACAAAACATGCAGTTTTGTCCATGTTGTTTTTATTGCTCTATACCTGGCATCTCAGAGAGTGCTTGGCCCATGATAGATCCTTGTTGAGTAAATAAAATGAACCTCACAACAAAATGTTCGTGGCTTTTAAAAACAAAAGGCAGTATTGTATATTGGTTAAGATATGGGTTCTAAAGCAAATTGCATGGGTTCACACTCCTGAATGTGCTATTTAATAACTAAAGACATTAAACATTATTTAACCTCTTTGAGACTCAATTTATATTTCTGTAAAAGGGGACTAACCAAAATACCTACCTGATATAGTTGTCATGACAACTATATACGAGAGTACATGTAAAAAATTTTTACAAGTGCCTGTTATCATTCATTATTAATAAAATCTTAGATTCAGAAAAAGACATTAAAAGAAAATAACCCTAATGAACATTCAGCATTACTTGTGTTTAAATTTACCTTAAGTATTATTAATGCAAAGGATTATTTTTATTGTGATAAAAATGCCTCTTTTCACATGTCAGATTTCTACCTTTAAAATTATTTTCTCATACACATTATTAATAATATTGTTCACCGGAAATGTCGTGTCTCATTGGAAGGCTTTTAAAAAGCTGTCTTAAAAAATATTTGCAGCTAATAGTATTGAGAGTGCTAGTAATTCAGTACATGCAATGCTTGAATTCTAGCCAGGCATTATACGTACACGGAGAGAAGTACATTTAAGCTGGAGGTTATACTTCCTTGTTGAAAGTTACTGTTTATTTTCCCCTGCCCCATCCTTCATTTAAAGAGGGTTCAGTCCCTAGTGCAAATTTTGAATTTTCATGTAACTCTTGGGTTTCTAACTTGACTTTTGCTAAAGAAAAATAGTTTTTTATTTAAATAAGATACTGAAGATTGCATGTGTCTGTAGAGTAGTGTGAATTCCCTGTAACAGAAAGAACCCATATTAGAGCTGGACCAGGTTCATCTAATCCAATCTTCTCCTTTACAGGCCAGGAAAGGGACTAGAGAAACAGGGAAGTGGTGACTTGCCCAAAGTCACAAAATAATTGAGACTAAAGCTCAGGTGTCCCATAGTACATGACCACAGGCTACATCTATTTGAAATTTAACACCTCTGCCTGATATTGTGTGCTTCATTGCAAAGTTCTCATTCAGCAGCAGGCTGAGCCATCTGCTCTCTGAATCAGTGCCCACAATCTATCATGCCCCAAACCTTGGACAGAAATCCATGAATTAGAGAGAAGCCTTTAGTAGGCCCAAGGGATGCTTAGGGTTTTTTTTTTTTTTTTTTTTGTGGCAGGAGAAACATACTGTATTTTTGTGTGTTCATTGGCTTGCAAACTATTTGGCCACAACATGAGTGATTCT